GGTACATGGGAGAAACTTATTTGTAATATAGTCAGAGCAATTACAGTCATTATTACAAATAACTAATTAAAACGAACAGTTTCCTAGGCTTTGTTTTCCTAGGCAAAAATTGAGATGCGAGTCCATGTGAGTGTGTTTTCATTAGGGAAGACACACTCCCACACTACACACTTGCATATAAGCTAACAAAACAGCTGAGCAGGCAGATGTCCAGACAGCTGTGAACACAAAAACAGTTTTAACAACTCTTTCTTTCAAACCAAGCCAGCCTTGAGACTCTCCATTAAAGTCTTTAGAAAGTGAATCGTTAATAATTGGCTTCAGGTTAGTCTTCCTATTTATAAGTGATCTAAATTTCCTTGTAAGTCCTGCCAATACACAAGTGCTCCTCAAAGTTCAGTTTTCAAAATGCACATAATTCCACTTGGCTGGAAAATGGGTCATTTCCCCAACCGCCTGAGCTTACCTTTGAGTGAGCCAATTTGCCAGTTTCAATTATTAAAGGCAGCACCTGTCTCTTTTCAAATTTCAGTGGCTCAGATCACTGTGCGAACGGCACTGCAGAGACAAAAAATCTACGCTGCGTGCACATTTTAAAGTAAAGTCGCTGGAATGAAATAAGATGTTGGTGTGATACGGGATTCAGAGGGGAGTGACGCAAACCTCATGCGCCATGAAATACACTCATCACCAGCCCTTCTCTGTCCCTTTGCCTTACTAAACTGTTTTCAGTAATTGGCTTTTTCTTGGCATGAAGTTGTCCAATCTAAATGGTAATTTGGAAGGCCCGCCTCTTGTCAGTGGCAATGCTTGTTTACCGGAGGACAGCTAATACGAAAATTAGAGTTGTAATGAGAAGGCAGGGATCTGTCTTACTGTCAGGAGACAAAACTGACAATCTGGTCTGGAGCACTTCATGTGATAAACCACACACAGCCTAAGGCACCGCAGCTGTAATCCAAGACAGATATCCCAACGAAACTAAAATATCTACTCATTTTTCATTTTATCAGTGAAGTGCAGTCAGTGCCGTCTACACGTTTACCTGAATTTTCCTTAAGCGCTTTTGGTGTTAGTCCACACTCCAAACATGTGCAAAGCAGTTTTACTGAAGTCTCCAAAGCGTCCAGGAGTATAAATTTCCATTCTCTTTGTATTAGCTCTGATGGATGCGACCTGTCCGAGACGGTTCCCTGCCTCGCTCCAAACAGATGCTGGGATAAAAATGAGTCCTCCTTAAATTTAAATCAAAACTAATGGAGTGAAGCGTGGCAATAAATCTATGCACTGGACTAAAAATGAGCATAGACAAAAAGATTTCCTTTCAAATCATGTTATTTTCATGCAACATCCTAGTGTTTAATTTATACCTTATGTAGCTTTAATGCATTCATTACAGTGATTTTAATAAACTGCCAATTAGGGCAACTTGAATATATACCTGCATATACAGCAGGTCAAATGTCTCTGTTGAGAAAATGCATAGCAGATCATCCTTAAAATTTTCAAAGGCACAGACATCTGAGAACATAATCTTCAATCATCTCATTTCCTTCGTTATTTCTGGTTTCACAACCTTACAAGGTCTACATTTTTTTAATCTTTACCTTAAGAAGTATATGTAAGGATGGAAATCTGGAAAGAAAGAAAAAAAGTCCAAAAAGGGAGGTGCATGCTTTGTAGTGTATTATGCTGCTGTAGGTTATTTTTCTGGTCAATTTAAGAACTAATTCTGTGAGTAAATGGCACTTTAATAATGCTCCAAAGCCTGAAAACGCACTAATGGAGTTGCATATGACCAGAAGGGCAAATAATTTTCCTGATGCACAAAATTGTTGTAGCAGGTACTTAATCTGCCACCATCAGAATTGAATTTAATGCAGCCACTGGTACTGTAGCTTAGTGGTTTTACTTAAGGCATTTATGAGGCTGCATTCAATTACATGTGCCAGAAACGCCACTTCAGACAAAGTTAGGTTTTGTAAGATCCTCACTATTGTTGGCTTCCCTCATAACAATCAAGTTTACAGAGCTATCCAAATGCAACATCTGTGTGTGTTTTTTAACAAAGACAAGTTGTTCCAAAATCCCCATTTTATCTGAAAGATATCATTGGATTTTTTTTGGATATGCACAAGTTTGTTTGGCTACAGTTACACAACCTGGTGGTTTAATTAACAAAAACCTGAGTGAGTCAACATGTGCCATTAGGCTGAGTTCTGGTGCAGCACTTTTCAGATCAGAGGTTGTCTTGATGACTTCAAATAGCTGTAAATATTTATTTGAAGTTATTTCATAGAGTCAAGATTCTGTGAATAGCAGATATTAGTGATAACGAGACACAAATTGGTGTGACAGCACTGGCATGGGGAAAAATTGTAAAGAAGATAATACCGGGTTAGTCTATAAGAGCTGTGCTTATCTAAAGTCTCTATCCCTAAAAGAAAAACGAAAAAAACAACCATTATTGTTTATGCATGGCCCAAACTCAACCCTTGCTTCTCCCTAAGAAGCCCTCATCCACAGCACAGCAGCAGCCAGGCATCAAGTGATTTCCAAACTTAGCAGTAAAAAGGGACTGAACAAAGAAAGCCACTATGGAAGAGTGTCTAGTGATGTCAGCATAAAAAAATTGATAATAGCTTATGTTTATCTAAAAAGCTCTCAGATAAACATCGAACAGTCGTCGCATAAGATTTCTTTGAGAGGATGAAACTGGCTGTTTGTACCTCAAAAATATGCAATTTAAACAAATACAACAGATTTGGTCCTAAAACTCCACATAAACATATTTAGAGTTTTAGGACTCTAAATAAACATGTAAAAAAAAAAAAAAAAAGAGGACTGCCGTGTATTACGATAAAAAAAAGAATTGCAACACACATTGCTGTGTGTGAAACAGTTGCAGATAAGAGCTCCAAAAATGAAATCAGAGGCAGTAACACACACACACACAAAAAGAGTCGCATCTCATATTTAATTCAGGGTTCTTGGCCTCAGGTATGAGTAAATTCACAGCTCCATTCTCTCCCCCACTTTCTTTTCTCTTGTCATCTTTTATTGATTTACAACTCTCAGATTACATCTCCATGATATATCTGGGTGCAGAGGCACCACATCCCAAACCAGTATCTGAGGCAACATTCAGAATAATCCAGCCTCGTACCTCAGATTCATATCATATCATTTTACAATGTTTTATGAATACATTTTTGTTGCATGCCAACCTTAAACCATCTGGTCAGGAGACTCCTTACTGTTGGCTGTACATACTGAACCAGAATGTGTTTGAATTATGCAAACCTGAAGGCTATGAATAATAGATCCATACCATTGATTTCATGCCCTAAATTCTTCCTAAAAATGTCATGAGGTCAGATTAATATTAATATTATTTCTGTCACTGACAGACCCATTGGCTTTGTTATGTGCTGTATGACACCAGCGACAGCTGCTTTCAATTTTTATTATGCAGCAAAAATGTAGATGTAACAAAAGGTTGATTGAACATAGGAAGACAATTCATGCACTTAAGGCTCAGCTTACTGTATATACTCAAGCATATGTAAACAGTTACAAGCAACATGTTAAAAAAAATGCAAATGTAATATTAGCAGGAAAAGACATAACTGAGCAAGTTGTCCCCTGTGCAGGTAGAAGCTGCTTCAACTCTGTTATGTTCTGAATAAAAAAAAGTAACAACTCTTTTACTGCTGGCACATTTTGGTCTGACAGAAATTCATGAAGTTACCAAAAAGTTTCAGTTTGCACTTTCAAATTAAAAAAAAAAACTATTGTGGAAAGGAAATGTCTTTCCCTGGTGCATGACATGAATCTCAAAAAGTGTGTGTAACTGTCTGGTATTCAATGCTTTGCAAAAGTCTCAAGCTACCCCTCATTTCCTTTATATCTTGCTAGTAAAATGGGAAATAGGTGCAGCGGCATGTGCAAACATACAGTTAAGTCCATATATATTTGGACACTGACAAAAGTTTTTTCTTTACCGTTTACTGAAATATATTCCAATTATAGTTATAGAATGGATATGGAAGTAATGTGTAGACCGTCACCTTTCATTTGGGGGTAACAATATTTAAATTGGATATTGCTTGCATTTGTAAGGTTGTTTGGTTTGTTTGTTTTTTCATTTAAAATTCATTGTGGTAATGTACAGAACCAATATGAGGGGAAAAAAGTTGTCCCTGTCCAAATACTTATGGAGCCAATTAAAATGCAAAAACATTATATGAGGCAAAAACAGCTCAAAAGACAATATTTGGTATCCACCATTTAACACAGCCTGAGCATACTTAGGCAAGCTTTCCTGTAATTTATTTAAGTAGTCTACAGGAATAATTGAAGGAAATCCACAGCTCGTCTTTGGATATTGGTTGCCTCATCCAGAAATTCTGACAACAATCTGAACTATAAATTTCAAATTTAGATTCACCACTGCATAAAACCTATTGCATCTAATTTTCAGTCTAGTTCTTGTACAATTTGACATACCTTAGTCTTTTGTCCCCATTACCCGTCCTATAGAAAGGCATCTCAACAGCCACCCTTCCACTGAGACCATTTCTGATCAACTGAAGGGTCAGATGCATCTCTATGTCAGGTCTTTGCTGGATTTTTTTCACGACATGACATTCAGCTAGTGTTCATCTGGTTATTACCATGTATTGCCATTTTCATACAAAAATGATAATTCAGTTTTGTATCTGCATGGGTAACCCAATTTTATCAAGTTAGTTTCAAGTTCATTCTCAGTTAAGTACCTGAGTTTTGTCATGTCATGCCACAGGATTAGTGTACTACTGTTCATTCAATGTAGACTCTAAATGATGCTCCATAACCTAAACTGCATCCAGACCTGAAAGACCTGGCATTACTCAACCACAGGATGGAAAGATTAAAGACTAGAAGGGGAAGCTTGGCAGCTCCAAAAAAAACATCAATCTTATCCACAATATCTTTTAATCAGGCATATGTGGCAATTATACAATAAACAGTATGTTTAATCTGCGTTGTTTTGATGGAATCAGACTCCCTCCTTCAAGTACACGGTGTACTAGTAAATCAACTGTTGGAAGGTTTCTTATGAAATTGGACCTCATGTCTCCTGCAAATCTGTGGCGTGAAAGAGGAGTTGGATGTCTGTGGGTTTGGTGTTTAGACGGCATGATTGATTTTTATACTCACTAGAAGACGGTATCTTTCCAAATTAAATAAGCTTTTGATTAGAGGTTTTTTCCACATTCCTCGACCTCTGGTCTTTGGCTAATGTGGCAACAGATTAAATAAGTTCAGCCTTCCTGTAGTGTAGAAGTGACACGATCTTAAAGACCCCCCTCACCTTGTTGAAATGTCAGTATGGTGTTTGCATGTGCTGCTAGAAGACATATCTTGACGGGGATGACTTAGCCAATGCCATGAGCATTTACACCATGGATGTGTCTGAATCAAACATGGATTCAAACAGGTTTGTTCTTTTGGAAATCCTGGCTAATGAACATGTCACATTCAGATGTGTTAGGGCTTCCTTTTTCCAGGGCTGGCAATCGAGAACGTTTTCTTTATGTTTAAAATACCAACACGTTATCAGCTGCTTGAAAAATTCAAGATTAGAATTCTTACCCTGTACAGTTCACTCTTCTTCAAAATCAGATCTTCTGCTTCTATCATATATTTGTCAAACATTACAACACGCCATCGAGATGCACCAAATTACAGGTTTAAACAGACTCTTGTAAGCAGTAAGCAATGTTATATCGCCAGTCACAGCCAGTCGTGGTTTGATGTTGAATGGCGGTCCATAGAATCTGTTACATAGTAATCATCAGAACAATAACAGACATAGCAGCTCCCAATCCATCACAATTCACTGATTACTGTAATTTGTGAGGTACAGAAAGAAAGTGACAAGTTCTGGTACCATCGGTTGGGTGCTCTGTACAAACCAATGACATTTGCAATTTTTTGAGAAGTCAATCATATCCAGAATATTACAACTGCATGGTCAGCAGTAACCATGGCTATAAAAAAAAAAGCATGAAAATATAGCATGACACAGAATTGGCGAGCACTGGGATATTTGCGTTGTGCACATAAAGGTTGTGCTGTGAAAAGGACCCATAAAACTAAGAATGGCCAGACTACAACTCACACTTGAGTCATTTATATACATCTAAAGTTACATGGAAATTCTGTCACAGTTGTTGCATGTTGAACTTTCCTTTTTCCTCTCACATTTATCCCTTTGCTTTAATCCCTGGCTCTTCCAAGTTACATGTTGAAGTATCATTGAGCAAGCTACTGAACCTTAAGTTGTCCTCAACGCATTGGGGCCTGAGTGTGTAAATGTTAGGTTAAAAGTGCTTCGAGACAGAAAAATGTATATGTGTTTAGAAAAGAAACCATTTGCAACTGTTGTTTTTTTTAACAAATTAAAACTAATTAATGAATTAAAGTATAAATAAATAAATATTGAGTACTTGCTACTATTTTTTGACACAAACAGCACAAGTTTCCCACCTTTTTCACAATATTTTAACAATACTGTGCCATGGTCATGACTCAAAAACAGCCAGAATCCATAGCAGCAGTACATCTGTTCGACTCAGTGTGACCTTTGCATAATGAGGACAATATCTGTAGGTGGCACTCCAACTCCTGTCATCCTGTTGTTAACCTCAGCATGATTTAACAGTTTAACAAAACTCAGCACACTCTTTTAGTCATTGAGTTACACACCCACGAACTCCCTCAGGACTTTTCGGCCATCAGAGACGGGTATCAGAAATATTGTTTTGACCTGAATGGCGAGAGATCTGCTAGCGTGCTACACCACAGCTGACAATGATGGTGGGAAAGAGCTCGATACAAGGAATTGCAGGGGAACAGAAGGAACGCGGGAGGGGGGAACAGCAAAGAGCGAAGGGTAAGGATCCTGGAGAGATGAGCACAACAGACAAGACAAGAGAGCCACAAGAAACAGAGGAGAGTAAAAAGAGCAAATGCCAGAGGGAGAGTGTTTATATGGATGTCACAGGAGGAAGGAATGGGAGGCTCTGATTAGAAAAACAAATCAATTTATTTAGAAAACATGACACACATCCAGCAAGAAAAAAAATGCCTCAAACTGAATTTCGATTGCCAGCTTTGACTGTGACAGATAATGATTTATGAAACAGAAAAAGCCTCATTACTACAGATGTGCTGCAGTCTTAACAAACCACTCAAATGAATAGCTTCCTCCCACAGGACTGCTAATACATGCATCACACACTAATGTTGTATGAGAACATAAACAAGTGGTTCTCAATCTTTTGGTTCCAATTAATTTAGTAAAATAAATGAAATACTTGATTGTGAGAGAAAGAAAATGCCAAAATCTAAAATTAATACTATAGAAACACACAGAGAACTGAAGGCAAATTAGCAACTCCAAAGGCATAAATCGAGACAGATTTTGTCTTGTGACACTAGGGAGGCTTTAGACCTCTCAGGTTATTTCATACCAGTTGATCCTCATATTGCTTACGGAAACAGTCTCCCACAGGAAAGAATTCCCAGCAACGCTCCTGGTACATTTTCCACACATAAGATTCCTGGCAAGGTCAACAGAGTAGCAATTTATCAAAAAGTCATTAATTTCATCATGAACACATTCTTTGACAGTGAGCTAATTAGAAAAATAAAATGAAGTTAGCAAGCTCCATTTCTTTTATGTTTGCTTGTACCATGCCAGAGAAATAGATACATGCTCCATCTATGAGTACAGACAGCCATGTACAGTAAGAGCTGTCACTGTTGGGTTTATCACCTTACTTGGGGGAATTCCTCGACATTTTCTTCTGCCTTTGTGCCCATGGATGTAAAGTAGGCACGCTCTCATCTGCCTTGTTAGTAGCGCAAGATGGTGAAATTGAGGAACACATTTTTTTTGTGTGCAGAAGTCAGGGGAGGAGGAGTGCTATCTTAAGAGAAATTACCTTAAGAGACATTTCAGCTATCAGCTCCAATGGGAGTTTTACTAGATCATTTAACACCTGGCTTTTTAATGACTAGATGGATATAGATGGTCCTGAAGACATATTATGTAATTGAATTGATTAAACTAAAAAATAAAACATAAACACTTTGTTAACTTATCAGATAAGCCTATAGATTGCTGTCAAATAAAGATTCATTTCCTCACTTACTGCCTCAATCATGTGCATGTCAGTAATCCATGGAAACGTGACAGGTTTGAGTCACATGACTCTTATCTAAAAGCCCTAAAACAAAGGATGTGGAAAAAAAACCCTCTCTTTGAAGCCTTTGTGACTCAATGAGAGAGAGGGCATGAGGTAAGGTTATTAGGGAGTTTTCCATGTACTGGGACTGAAATGTAGCCTGTTCAACTGTACAACAGGCTGTAGGAGCTTCTGCTCCTTAAATAGTACATACCACAAGGGGATTGGGGGACCAGGCATTCCCGTTCAGGGGCCATGCATAACCCTTGGTTATCACTGGGGAATGGAGGATTGTATGGTCCAGCTGCAACACTTCATCTTTATGCCAAAGCTGCCACAGCTCCTCTACCAGCAGCTGCATCATGATTAAGAACCATGTTTTCACATTCTGGGGCCACCAGGATGACTACTAGTTTCTCCATTTTAAGTACTTTCACCCTGGCTGGGGAAAGCTTTGATTTCATGGTGGCTAAGTTCATGTGCACACTCAGGAAAATGGCTGAATAGGTAACAAGAAGAAAGTTCGTCTTTTATGGTAAAATCTAGCGCACATTAGGATGCAAGACTACTGGCATCCTGGAGTGTTTATTTTGTTATGTGCGCAGACAAGTCTAAAACCTTTCACTTTTTTTGACTAGGTGACTGTAATGGCCATTGGGAGCAAGAAGTTTCCACTTGCATTCTTTAGCAGACAAGTAGATGAAGAAAATCAGAGCAAGGCTGAAAGTCATGTGCATGGTAGAGACAGTGCTAAAGTGGTCGGTGTGGGAAACTAGGGTGTAAAAGAAAATCTTCAAGACTGCGCATGTGCCAGGATTTCTAATCAATAGTGACAGCTCTTAGAGGACATAGCCTACGAGAAAGAAATATTTTTCCACCAAGCAGCTCCTCTTTCAAGCAATATCTGAGAAGAACAATATGCTGAAAGAATATACCCAGTATATCTAGGAATAAGTCCCAGAACCCATTTGATTTGAAATGCCCCAAGTTCAAAATGTTTCAGGTGGATTAAATCAATGTAGTTTTCTTTGACTGTGAGCAATTGTGCCATGAAACTGTAAAGATTTAGCTTTTTAAAACATGCCACTAATTGCACAATGTTTTGTGCTTAAGTGGAGATGTATTCATAATGGCAATATCTAGCATGTATATTGTTATAAAATATGCGTGCCAGGAGTGATAAGGCTTTTGAGAGACAGTGTGAATGCATATTCTGTCCTAGTTGAAAAGGTTACACCACAGCTCTGTCATTATCATGGTAAATGTGTGAAATAACAGGTCACTGAGACACGAAGGGAGTATTTTTGGAAAGCTATACTTTGGGATTTGATCTTGTCAAAATAGTGTAATTGTTTAGGAAATTTAAAAGTGCACATCTAGTTCTTTGGTTTGATCATGCTATAAAAAGACGACAATTATACCTGCCCCGTGTGTTCTGTCTCATCCTTGTTAATAAGGTACATCAGAAAAAATCTGCAAAGACACAGAAGGGGGAGTTATGCAACAAGTTTCAAATCTTTCAAACCACCAATGATTTCATTTGGTTCTGTGAAAACTTAAATTAACAAACTGTTCATGTAGTAGTCAAGTAGAAGGATTATGATGATTACGAATGTAAATTGGATTTCAAATGCAGAAATATAACCAGCAATGTCAACCTGACGATCAGGTTAAAATTACCTTTAATACTTGCAATTATTTGATGATTGACAAGCAAGAAATAATGAAATCTAATGATCCTTTGGTTTATTAAATTATGAGTAATGATGCTACAGCCTATAAACCTTTATCAGGTGAGCCAAAAATGTCAAATGAGGCACGACTGTACATATATATTCATGAGCAAAGAAGAGTCCATCAATCAGGGGATGCAAACACATCCTGCTAGATCCATACTAATCAGTCTCAAAAGCGCTTGCCACAGGCAATTATTGACATGGCAACAATGTACAATGCAATGACACCTTCAAAGTAACCATTTTTACTTCTAGCAGAAAAGGTTCCTTCATGTTATGCTGAAAAGCAGTGAAAAAGACAAAATGATAATCATTTTCTAACCATGACAACTTAATAAGCTTGAGTGGGGTTATTGTTTTCTGCCTTTAATACCTTCTATTACACACATTTTCTTATTTTTATTAGCGTTTCATCCTATTGTACTTATTGTGGTACTCTTGAGCATTTCAATGAGCAGTCTGTGTATGTAAATGACTATGGCTTTGTTAATGTAATACATACAGCTTTACATAGGTGTCTTATAATATACAGATAAACTGTGTTCTTGGTGGATACAGAGTTTGGTCAAATGCATGTATTTTTAGGTTAGGAGGTGTTTTGATTCTTACTGGACTGTCCTTACACATATCACAATGAAATGATTAACAAAGCACAGAGACACTCACAGACCACTTTATTACGTATATTTTGCTAGCACCAGGTTGAATCCCTTTTTGCCTTTTTCATGGCATGGGTTTAACAAGGTGCTGGAAACAATCCTCAGAAATGTTGGTCTAATCTGTTGCTGCAGATTTTTCAGCTGTACATTAGTAATTCAAATCTCCTCTTCCACCACATCTCATTGGTACTTTAATGGAGATATGGGGACTGTGGAGCTACAGTGAGGAAACCTGTCTGAGATTATTTGAAATGTGTGACATGGTGCATGAACTTGCTCTAATCAGCCATCAGAAAATGTACACTGTGGTTATAAAGGGATGGCTGTGGTCAACAAAACTCAAATAGGCTGGGATGTTTAAATTATGTTCAGATGATACTAAGAAAATATTGCTCATACCATTACAACACCACCATCACCAGCCTGATACATTGTTATGAGGAAGGATGTATACGTATCTAATGCTGTTAATGCCAAATTCTGATCATGCCATCTGTGTGGTTGTGTGGAAAACCCAGGCCAGCCTGTCTGGCTCTAACGGCTGAACCAGAAAATAATTTACTGAAAATCATCTTTTTTTCTCCATTGCGATGCTCAGTTTTACCTTCAGCAAGTCATTGTGACCATGTCTGCGTGCCCAAATTCACTGAGTTGCTGGAATGTCATTGGCTGATTAGTTATTTGCATTAACAAGCAGTTGAACAGGTATACCTAACAAAGTGGCCATTGAGTATAAGTGAAAAATAGAACTTAAAGACAGTGGTTTGAATCTGAATTGCAAGCTGTGGTAAACAAAGTTTTATACTGAGAGCTAAACTTGAGAAAGGAGATGAACTTATAGCAATGATTTATGGAGACATACAGATACACAGCCAAGTGTGTTAATTAGATTTATAATGTTTGCATTTTATAACTGTTCAGTGGTGACAAAGCATGCATAAAACTTACAAATGTAAACATGACCAATGCGTAAGAACTTAGTTTTAATATTTCTAAAATTAGGTCGAGTTGATATCAAACCCAGGCATAAAACCAGCGCTTTGATGAACTCACAGATAGTTGGCCAGGTTGTGCTCCTGAAGCGTGTGAGTCTCAAAGCCATGAGGAACCGTATCAAAGTATTCACTTCCCATTCCACATATAAAACATTTGGTCTGCAGGAAGAGAAAGTAAAATGCAATGGTTCATGAAACAGATTTGGACAAACATGATGTTCCCCAGACTAAATTAGAAAGACCAGAAGCCCGTTGTTTTAGTGCTCTGTGATTCAAATGTGGTATTTAGCCTGCTAGCACAACAATCTGACACCTTTTTTTTCTTAAACAAATGCACTGAGAGGACACCCACATAAGGAAAATACAAGTAAGAAGAGAAACCTAATATTCCTTTTGCAAGCCACTGTGCAACACTTCGGGGATACTGAAAGTTGATTCTGATCATCTGACCGTAGCTTTCCCAGCCTTGTAAAGAGGACAGTTGTATAATGATTAAAACTCAAATGAGCCATGAGCAGCTGAACACACAAAGAGTTGGGACATGGTCGCAATCACAGCATTAGAAGATGTAGTCTTAGGGTTTTCACATAAATGCCCTCCTTGACTCCCCACTCAAACCATGCGTTCCTCCCTGTCCAGGATGTGTACATCCTTGTAACTGAAAAAGCGGTCACCAGTCTTTAGGTGTAAACAGACAGCAGAGTCCTGGCCTGATGAGTAAGGTCTTCTGTGTTCTGCCATCTGCTAAGCCAGTGGCTTTCTTGATATATAATAGCAGTCCTCTCGTTACTTAAATGCGTACACTATATGGTTTCATTTGTGTCAGGGGACCCAATCATCGACACATACCAATTTTTGGCTTGTTTGGGGGTTTCAATGTCACAAAGACAAAGTGTTTAAAAAAAAAAAAAAAAAGATGCTTTGGGAAAACCAAAGAACCTGTTTGTGCTGTGACAGTGATTGAAAAGAAGCAATAACGAAATGTGTGTTTTGAGTTTAATGCATTTTAGGTCATTTCTATTTATGGCAAATAATGGTGGAATGGAGCTCAACCTGATTTATCATTGCTGAGAGCAGCAGAGCTTAATGCCCCTATAATACAACATCTGGAAAAGCAGGTGTAAAATCTGTGACACTGTTTTTTATTTTGTGACACAATGACAAATATAACATATACAGTAGAAAGCAAGAACACATTAGACGAAGATGTCGGAAAAACTGTCACAAGCCTATACCGAATTAACACAATGTATCGCTATTTTTAACAGTTTCACAGCCCCAGCTTGCATCTGCTCTATTCAGCCTTCAGCAATCTGTAAAATATTTTATTTTTGCTTGAATTTCTTCTGAATGTTTTGCAGTCAGCTGAACCACAGCTCTTTACTATATTTTATGTTGTTATTGTTTTCTCTGTGAATGTGGAATGGCAGATGCTGACTTAAATGTTGATGACAATAACAACTATATGAGTACACTCTTTTCAGACAGTAGCTCACCAGTTTTGTCAGACTAAGTGTACTACCCTGTTTCCTCAGTCTGGTAATCAAAGGTCTAGTTTTCGATTACTTGGCTGCCTCTCCTGCACCTTTGGGCTTTTTTGCTTCCTTCTAGTGTCAGACTGTCTTTCTAACTTTATGTCTGTTTTTAGGTTCTGATTCTCATGGTTTGTTAAAGCCTTATAGATATACCAGTGAGGGTTTTAGCCTGGCTCCCTGGTTCACTGGGTTCAGCAAAATAACCCTAACAAATAACTATTCTTTAAATAACAAACAGTGCATTTCCATTTGTTTTTCTACTCCTTCTAGCTTCTATGTATGGGCACATGAGCATTCAAACATGAGAGAAACAAGACTGAAAGACTGAAAACAACAAATGCATATTTTATGAATACTTTATTATTTTTTAATCAACAATTTGTTTTTGTCAGACTAGAGTTTCTGTGCTGACAAGTCACTAATCATTCAAGAGAAAGAGATAATGGTACCCTCTCATTAGTGCTAATGGTACATTTGTTTCCTGTGAAACAAGTCCCATAACTGAATGTACTTCCTTTATGTAATTGTATGTGTGTATGTGTGCAGTTTGTTTGCTCCCACATACTTAAGTTACAGCTGAAGTCTGTACTATGAAACAGGATTTCATCTTATCCAGGTAACTTCAGGATTAACCAGAGTTTTCTGTACTATGAAATGCTGTTTCACCACCTACTGACCAATCGAGTCTTCAGAAAACAACTGATTTGAGGCCTGAGGGATCCTTGATCTCTCAGACTTCTATGCACAGATAGTAGGATGGTCTAAAGTTTTTCAACAACATCTGAAGCCTTTGTGTTTCATAAATACAGATTATTCCTTCTACAACTTTTTCCTTGATTTTTCCTCTCGACTGTAAATCATTTTGAAAGAACTGTATTGTTTTATATGCTTTAAAGCATGATCTGTATGTTTTAACCTTTAAAGGATGCAGCTGAAAGAACAAAAAGTAAAACAAAAACGTTATTAAATACTAGATTACCTGTCCTAATTGTAGAGCTATTAAACTGATAAGTCTGTCAACTTACACAGTTGGCATTTTTCCCACTTTCCTTTCTGGCTTCAAATAGGCTAGACTTTGTTAATATACTAGATCTTTTACAGTCTTCCTGTCCAAAGCACCAAAAGCATACACACATTCATGCAGCACTTATAATACTAAACAACTGTGCAGCACTTTCCCTCTCACACACACTGCTTTGTGTGCAGAAGCTGTCATGTTTCGTCAGTATTATTTGCTTAACCTCTTGATATTTTTTACATATTATTGCTTTATCCTCATTTCCAAAAACCAGGAACTCTGCTGCCAGAATACTTATCCATCTATGTTTTTGAGATGCTGCCAGTGCCACAAAGAGAGGAAACCTGAGTTAATAACCAGCTTTGTGTGACCACTTATTCTGATTGCTGGTGTTAAGGTAAGTGAATCCAGGTAAAAGAAAGACACTCTAGGCATGTTGAAATCGCTTCATAGTACCAAACCCTGGTATCAAACTTAGCCACAGAAGCTGCTGCTACATAAACATGGTGCAAAGGACAATATAAAGCTTTTATAGGACATTTATATCTCACAATGCTGGATTATGTATTGTTGGAAATTGATTTTGCTCAAAATATGGAAACAAACAAAAGAAATTGTGGTTGCTTACTGCAATATAATGCGTATATTAATAACAAGTGGTTTTTTTTTTTAAATAACAGGGCTATCACCAATAGAAATATACTGTGAATGTGTGAGACAAAGTGTCAAATCTCACCTCCATATCCTCCTTCACCTGTTCCTGTTGGTCACGAAGCTCTCCAAAGGCATCAATTATCAAGCCTAAGAGCAACAGCATGAGGTTTTTCAGTACATGTTGATGCATGATAAATTCTTTATTTCCAGTTAATTTTAAGTTGCAAAACAAATTCACCGTGTGTGTGTGTGTTTGTGTGCGTGTGTGTGTCTTACCCTGGATAATGGCCAGGAGGATGACAATGACAAAGAAGAAAAACGTAATATCAAAGACAATCCGTTCCACCTCAAACTCATCTCCAGCAGGATCCTCGATCTCATCGCCAATTCCACCGCCTGCACGCACTCCCACATACATGTGGAACATGTAACACTAAAATAAATAAATAAACATTCTGTATGAGGATCAGAGCACTTCTCCCTCAATTTATTCCTCCCTTTAACGGGCTGTCTTTGCTAGTGGTGTGAAGTATTGAAGAATACTTGTTAATATTGAAGCTCAATAAAGAATTTATTCTCTGCATTTTCATCCCTCTATTCATGTTTGTTGCTATTGGGGAGAAAAAATATTAAACTGCCATTACTTCTACATTTTTAAACAATAGTGCAAGTTTTGTTTCTCATCAATCTTCTCAGACATGTATTCCCCTTCGGGGAGTATATGGCAAGACAGATTAACATTCAAGTTGTCTAGCAAGGGCTACACTGTGCTTTAACTGCCAAGGACAATATTTTCCACAAGGCATTTGAGCAAAATCAAAATATCAAAGATTTTTCCATACAAGTCTTCTGCTTTGGATTCATACGCTTTCATTGTACTCATCTTTAAAATGGTACGGCAATGACTGTAGAGCGATTGATACAACAGCACGGTGAGTGAGACTGAGGGTTTACCGTAATATCCCTCACCTCCTATATTAACAGGGCTTCATTCAAATGCTTTTACTTCCCATCCGCCTGCAGATGTGAGTGACAGTGGAGTCCATATTAGAATAGAGCAGGCAGTGGGGTGTTAATATTTTGAGTGGCCAAACAAAGGGCTGTGCTGAGGCTTCGGGGGCTGTTTTCTCTCAAAGTGTCCATCATTTTATAGAAAAAAAAACTTGATGGAATAAGACATGAGGCTGTTTTCATTTGAACAATGGGGATCCCTGTCAGAACCTTCCTCTACCTCTCTCACTGTGCAGGTAGAAAAGGAGGTGGGTGGCTGTGTTTGCATTATAAAGATAAGCACAAAAAGATAGCGACGGTGATAAGAGGCAGATATATGTGGTGGGAGAGTGTGTGTCAATATGCACATTAAACTCACAGTAAGCATGTCATTGCACTTCATGTCTTGGATGTCCTTGTCATCACTTTTGTTGTAGAACTTTCTGAAGAAGTTGAAGGCTACAACGGTGTAGAGGTACACCACAACAGCCAAGAGGCCCACGGTAAGGATCAACTGACAAGCACACATACATAATTAGAAAATGACAGACAGAGGCAGACGGGCTTTAATACACTACTCAATATAACCTCACAAGGTGAAAGCAAACATCGGATGCATTGTAGCTGCACCCATGAACACACATGGAAACTGATGGAGAGAGAATTAAAGACAGATCCACGCAGATATGCAAATGCACAAACACACACCTGTTTGCCATTATGTGTGACAGAGGAGAGGATGGTACGAAGTGTCTTGAAACCCATAGCGATATCCAAAAGGTGGGCAGCAAAGAAGAAGTTGTTATAATGTCCCAGAAACGACATGGTCATGTACCATGCCAAGTACAAGAAGGACTGTAAGTGCACACACGAGGACAACCAAACATAAGAAACACAACCAATATAGATTACAAGGACAGATAAAGAGACAAATGTGTATTTTAGATAAGTGGAATAAAAAGGATATTAACATCTCCTCCTCTGCTGTACGCCCAATTTTATCAAAACAAATCGTAGCGTGGTAGAATGACAGATTAACAAAAGAGGAATAGGCCATAAAATATCGGATACGTTTTACAACCACTGCCTGGTAACATTAACCAAATAGTTAACATAAATTGCAGGCTGTAACACCTTTTCTTTGGCTTATAACCAAACTGAGCAAAAGTCATAAACTATTAGATGCAATCCAACTTACATTGTCAGTGAAAACTACACCTAGTTTCCAGACCTGATACTTCATGTCAATGGAGTTGCATCTGAAAAAAAATATGATATGATTAATTAATAAAAAAAAATAAGTGATAGACAATAACAAGAACAATTAAACAAGGTCAAAATGTTAGTGATTTAGATCAGAGCCTTGACCTACTGTGTTTTTATATTTTTAAAAACACAGTCTCAGTTATGGGGCTTTTTCTTAGAATATTATGTTCTTCCTCAAGTACAGCATAATGTTCTAGGACCTTTTTTTACCTGTTACATAACATATACACACAGACACAGACACACACGCACACAATGTTCGCAGAACCATTATTAAAAATGCCACGGGCTATTAATAATCATTTGCCTGAAATGTTATTTTACTAACAAGGCCCACACAAGAGCCAAACATAACAGTAAATAAACCCAGACTGTTAATGTATTTCACCAGGGACCCATTTTGTAGTCCAATTCACTTCCACAGTAAAATGCATTAGAAAATGGGCTGTATCGATTTCATATTTAAATTTTTCTATGTCATTCCCAGACAGCCTGTATACTAGCTATCCTCCAGATAAGTAGCTGCATTATTGCGATCACTGCAAGCTTCTTTGTGTACAGCTGCCTACCTAATCCATATTATGGAGGCCTGTCAGGAAAGAATTATTTGTATTTATTAAAATGCATATACAATATAGAAAATGAGACTGTGTTCTTGCATGCATTAAACCTTTCTATAGCAATGTCATAAATAACGAAAAACTACACCATAATTTTGTCTGAAATTGCACGCAGAGCTAAATAAATGACACATTAGACCTCAGATATTTCCCATGAATCTTTTTAAGAATGCACAATTGCAAACTCTACTCACAGAGCACTCCAGGCAGCGTCTCTCTTGAGCCTCTTCTTTGTTTTTGTTTCAGAATTAAGGTCTAAAGCAGCCTTGTCCAGACCTAGGAGTTCACTTATCTTCTCGCAGCCATAAAAGTCACCGTACTTATCCATCACCTGAACAGGGAAGAAGACATGTTTGCATCGTGACGCAAGCAATGTGTTCTTCAGTGTATCGTCACATGAATTACACAAGACAATGATAAATGGTATTTGGAGTAATACTGAATTCTGCATAGTCTAAGTGTAACGAAACAAAGATTGTCAGACACTTGTGTTGCAAATGTTTTGGGGGGGTTTTTGTTTAGTTTTGCTTGTTTGGACAGTTGTGTGAATGACTGGCACAAACACTGGTTTTAAAGTAATCAACACATTTGTGTTGATGCAGACTTTACCATTTACCTTCCTGATAGAATGCACAGGCGTTGCATCTTGGTTTAAAAATATTGACTTAGGCTCATGACAAATACATGAGTTTCAACTTTATGTGACTGAATCTATTAAAATAAGAGCCAAGCTTTATTATAAAGCCCATTTGCCATTACAAACCTAGGCACTCTGAAGTCTGGCAAGCAATAGCACAAACCTTCTAACCATCTATTTTACTGCAAGTTCTTAAAATGATGCAATCAAGGGTATTAAATGCAATGTGGGAGTGCCAGGTGTATTTTATGTAGACCAACTGTCCATGAAGTGGCAAAAAGCCAAAACCAAAGTCAAAGTGCTTTAATGAAATTCAAAGTCAAAACACTACTTTCCAGTCCTGACATTTTCTTCTTTAAATGAAGGTGTTTGTGCAAAAATTACTTAATAAATTATTAATTACGCCTTACAACCAGGTGCCTATCATAAAACTTGCAGTGTATAGGCAAGGGCCACATTGCAGTGCAGAACAATTTAACAAAAAGCAAGCTTTAGTAGCAGACTACATAGTCCAAAAATGCATACTTCAATAGGTAAACAAAAATTACAAGGAGCTCACTGAGAGTAGCAGACAGAACGACTCAACAAGGACAAAATGGAACACATTTCTATGCTGTATATACACAGAAGACTGACTACTCCCGAGAGAAGAGTGAAAACAATCAGGGAGTCAGGGGAAGACAGACAGGAAGCAAAACTAGCACACAACCCTCAAAGGATAAACTCAAAACCAAATAAAACACAAATCAAAAACAGCAGTAACACTAGAACAGCACAGAAATCATGACAAGAACCAGAACTCAGGAATGTCAAACAAGAATCAGAAGAACTAAGCCACTAAGTTTAACCTAATAGGATGATATTGAAACCATGATATGAAACCAAGACCCAAGCAAATAAGTATTAGAATATCAGTAATGCCTGACAGAAATCCAAACATTAAACTACAACTTAACAAAACCCGAGAGCCACAGCAGTCGCTGTGAGAACCCGTCATATCTATTTTTTTGTTCAAATATACGCTGCCAGGAAAATGCAATATACAGTACTGCTGTGAAATAAAATCAATACTTCCAAATATCCCTTCAGAAGCTGATGAGTACTACCATAAATACTAGCTGGATGTGTCTATGAAACCATATCACCAAAACAAAATGGCAAACCTATACTCATTCAAGTGTAAAGCACAAGTGATACAGTGAAATAAAGTTGTTGCTAACACTGTTCCTAACAAATCACTTCAAATGAGAGGGGAACAGCAGCATGTTCCAAACACTGAAGACTTTAAATATTTAAATAACTGCTTCCCCTGATAAAATGATCAGTGAATGTAGTTTGATGCAGCACACAAGGCCAGATTTAATAAGTCATCCGCATAAAGTGAGGCTGCAATCGCAAGAATGTGCCAATAAGAGTGGAGCAAATTAGCAGCGCCAAAATAACACAGTACATTAATAAAGTGTACACATCTGTTTCTATTGAAATTACTGTTACTGCTGCACATGCATGAATGTGTGGGGTCTTTTTTCCTGCGTGCTACAGGCATTTACTCAAATCAAATAAAGCCATCTGACTCTAATCTGCCTGTACAAAAAACAAATACTGTATTCAAAATGTTGATCTGCATTCATTGACACCTTAACAACATTAAGACTTAGACACAAGTCTAACATGTGTGAGATCTGATGGTAGTGCTGCAGAGATCTGTGTGGATACTTTTGAGTAAAGATAGGTTTTCAATAATATTTCTGTGTATAAATGTGACTAAAAACCAAACACAGCAAAATGAAATACTCGCTATAAAACTCGACTTTGCTGCTGATAATACATGTATGGCTTGCAGGCCTCTTGAACTAGGCAACTAATCCTTCTCCTCCTCCTTACACTCTACATTCAGTTCTGCTCCGCTACCAAAAAAAGAAAAAGCAGAAGCACCAGAAAAATATGGGACACTGGTCATTCAGGGTAAGTACCTGCAAACCTTAGTAAATCACATTTGTATGATTGATTTAGATACTGTCCTCCCTAAATTCTGCACTCAGAAAGGGAAAATCCTAAGGCCAGCCAAGAAAGTAATGTGTATGTGTCTCTTTAGTAAATCTCAAAAGTAGTTATTTTAATCCTAAAGGAGGTAATCCCAAACCCTTAATATAGCCCCCAGTAGCTTTCCTACCAGTGCATTACAAGTTGAATTTCTATGAGTCACATTAAGTGTTCCTAAATTGGGGGGGAAAAGACCAAAAAGGGCTTTCTTAAAGCAGACAATGACAATGATCTCCTTTTTTAAACTACAGAGACATAATCAATGAGAAGGCTGAAGGTGTTGCACTGTCTATTGAGGCAAGAAAATCATTTTGGTATTTTACAGGGAAATAATGACACCTGTGATGAAACGGTAAATGTCATTATGTTTCTTAATGCAATGTAACTACATGGAATATGCACATAATTATATAAATGCATAAGCACTTTTAGACCAGACCTTACCTTTCTCTTCACAAATTTATCCCAGTAATTGCTTGGAAATGATCTGAAAACATAAAGAGTAAGAGACTCATTCATATGGGAGGAACAGAAACTGTAACATTTACTGAAGCAACCTTGAGTGAAAAATTTCAGCCTGCCACTTCAATATGTATACGCTCACCAGCCACCTCATTAGTTACACCTTGCTAGAAACATGTTAGGCCCTATTCTGCCTTCAGAACTGCTTTCATTTACAGGTGCTGGAAACATTCCCTAGAGATTGTGGACTATATTGACAGCACAGGGTCATGCAGTTCCTACAGATTTGTCAGCTGCACATGCATGATGCAAATATCTCATTCCACCATATCCCAGAGGTATCCTATTGGATTGGCATTTGGTGACCATGGAGGCCATTTGAGTACAGTGAACTCATTGCCATGTTCAAGACACCAGCTGGAGATGTTAACTTTGTGACATTGTACATTATCGAGCTGGAAGCAGCCATCAGAAGATGGGCACACTGTGGTCATAAAGTGATAGATATGGTCAACAACAACACTAAGGCAGGCTGTGGTGTGGAAATTATAATGTTGATAATAAGGGCCCCAAAGGGTGCCAGCAAAATTACAGTCACAGCATTACACCATCAGCAACCAGAACCCTTGATACAAGGTCGGATGCAGCTATGCTTTTATGTTGTTTACACCAAATTCTGACCCCACCATTCAGATCTAGCAGCAGAAATCAAGACTCATCGCACCGGCCGACATATTTCCAATCTCCTATCGTCTAATTTGGTGAGCCTCTGTTTATTGTATCCTCAGTTTCCTGTTTTTAGCTTATAAAAGTGTCACCCAGTGTGGTCTGCTACTCTAGCCCATCTGCTTCAAGGTTTGACATATTGTGCTTTCAGACATGATAGTGAGTAGTTATTTGAGTTATTGTTGCCTTCCTATCAGCTCAAAGCAGTGTGGGCATATTCCCCTGACCTTAGACATCAACATGGCATTTTCACCCAAAGATCTGTCGCTCACTGGATATTTGCCCTTTTCTCTGTAAACCCCAGTTGGAAAATCCCAGTTGATTAGCAGTTTTCTGAAATACTCAGACTAGTCCACCAAAAACAATGCCACTTAAATCACCTTTGTCCCTCATTCTGGTGCTCAGTTTGAAATTCACCAAGTCGTATTGATCATGTCCTCATGGCTGTTGCCATGTGATTGGCTGATTTGATATTTGGCTTAAAGCCAAGTCAGTCAAGCCTACCTAATGAAAAGTCCAGCAAGTACTAGGTGTCAGTAGCAGGTTTCTTAGATTTGAAGTACAAAACAGGCTGTTATTTGATTTTTCCATTACTTTATGAATAAAAATGATATTAAAACACAAGTCATGAACATACGGGGTGTTAATTGCCAGTCGGTCCCATTGGCCTTTGATGTCTTCCTCAGGAGGCTGTTTTGTCACATAGAGTCCATCAAACTCCAGCCTTCGTGCCACTTCCTTCTCACGTTTGAAGATTACTAATGGTACCTTTCAATCAAACGCACTACAATAGTCACTATATTCTTTGAATAAGTACACCAGTAATACACTAACAAAACATTCAAGTTAATAATTTACTTCATGGCTCTTGACAGGTAAAAAGTGATTATATAAAGTGAAAGAAGTTCTTAAACTGGTATACCTTGAGGCAGTAATAACCAATAATACAACAGAAGGAGATGATTGTGTGTGCTACAGCCAGGAAATTGAGAGAGGGCTCCATGTATCCACTGTTTTCTTCAAGTACAAAATACACTCTGCCCTCGCTGTTGTTGTCAGCATCAGAGTTCAGTTCTTCACCGTAAACAGATGTGGTCATTCCTTCCTCTTCTTTCAGGGTAGGAAACGGTGTTACCTTGGGTAGACAGTAGACCAAATATATAATACTTAAGACAAAGTTGACTTTTTTTGACAAAATATTAAAAGCCATCTTTTTTAATATAAGAAATTCAATGTTGTTAAAGTAAAGCATCGACCGAGACTACCCAGTTTGACTCCCTGGGCTTCACAGCATGGGCAAAAAAAAATATGGACAAAACACACAACAGCACAAAATACTTGTCTCATTAGCACATTCCCACCTTGTAGAACAGAAGGACGAAATTGATTGCAAAGGTGATAAAAAGAGCCAGCAAGCGCAGATTATAAAAGTTCCTTGCAAAATAGTTCTGGAAAAAAGAAACAGAAAAAAATCTGAGGTGTGTGGCCTTTATATTTATGTGACTGTGGAGGAAAACTGACGTGGGTGCAAGGATGCATCCTTATCTACATTGTACTCATACATTCACAGCCATGTGTGTCTCTGTGTGTGCATATTACCAGCAGGCTCTTGTTATGAGTGCCAATTGTCTCCCAAAGGGCAGATTGTTGGCTCTGTGGTTCTTTTAACTTATTTGAGAATCTCTTGGCTCTCCCCCTTGCCTTTGCTTTCTCATTTCCAATTTTCTTCTCAGACTTCTCTCTGCAAATAATCCATACGCAAACAGAGGGAAAGTCAAACAACCTTACTTTGACCAATATCTGGGATGATGAAAGCAGAATTTTGCCTGTGAAGATTTCAAACTTTTGATGTTAAATGTGATCTTAACCTTTGCTTTAAGCCCACATGAAAAGTCAGTGGTTTTTATATTTGAATGGCAGTGACTCAACAGTGTAGTGGTCAGCATGTTTGCATAAGACCCAAGATTTTAGACCAGAGGGAGACACAAATTCAGCCTCAGGGAATCAAATCAAATAAAACATGCAGGTCCATCTGTTGTTGTAACCCCTTGAGAGTTAAGGGAGCAGCCAGAAGGAGCAGCCTGTCATTTAGCAAAATATTTTTTATTGGTTTTAAACACACATTTTAGCGACTGTAACACTTAAAGTGTTATTGAGAAGTTAAAGAAAATCCCTCTTTGAGAACCAAATAAGAAAGCATGCAAGAGACTCACTCTGTGTTCATTTTTGTGTCTTCATTTTTATCCTCTGTGGTTGTGTGATCCTTAATTTGCTGCTTGTAAAATTCATTAAGAATCAAAGTTTAATATGAAGCTCAAACAGTATCAAAGTATTACAAATCAATGAAGCTTAGGACAAGTCCACACAGATGAAAAACCTTGGGAAAAATAAAATGTACTGAGCCACGAACATTAAATAAAACATTCTGAATGTAATTTTCATACCGTTATCTGATGCTTCTCAAAATCAGAGGAAGCACTGGTCCTGGAACTTGTGCTGAACAGGTCATCCAGACTGGCAGTGAGGTCTTGTGCTACAAGTTTGTATCGACCTTCCTCTTTCTTTAGTTTGAGGCCAAAAATGCTTGACAGTACATCCACCTCTCTGGGGGAGGTCACAGCTCCCATCTGCCCAATCTCCCTCAATTCTCTGTGGGACGAAAAACTGGCAGAGTACCTCCTCGGCTGATCCACACCACTTGGCACCTCCGTGACCTCATCAAGAGTTGGTTCAAGGATACCGCCAAGCAAGTCAGATATCCTAATCTTTTTGGCTCCCTCTATGAGCCCACCACTCACAAAAGCAATATACAGCACGTATAAGATGCTGTGAAATAAAACATAAATGCACCGTACCTGAGCCATACAAATGAATCGGACGAATAGAGCAGCTGACATGAGGATATCCTTCAGGGTCAACTTCATCAGTGTCTTTAGGTTTGTCAGAGAAAGTAGAGTTGAGAGAAATAGCCACCAATGAATCATGAAAAACATTCCCTGATCGCCCAGGTGTCGTTTATCCTCGACTTGTTTCCCAGTATTTCTTTCTCCGGTGTTAGAGCCAGATATCTGAGCTGCAAGCTGCATCTCAAAAATGGTGTCCTCACAGAAATTGACAAACATTTCCATTTTCTCTCTCTCTGCACCCTCGTTGACAACATCAAAAATGAACTGCCTCTTCGACTCTTTAACCTGTGGCTTCTCCCACTGTGTACGGCTATATTCGCTGATCTCAAAGTAGACGCGTTCGAAGCGCTTCCCACTGCCGAGGATCTCTATGCGTCCTAGACTGGGCTGAAAGTAAGTCAAGACACTTTCTGCCAGTTCCAAGAATGTCTTTAGTCTTGAATCGTTGGGCATGTGTTCTGACAAGTTGGTGAGGAGAACGGTGATGCTGAAGCCAATGTCTTTTGCTGGCTTATGGAAGCGATCCACAAAGGCCTCATAGTTCACAATTTCACCATCATTAGTCTCCATGCACGAAAGCAAGAAGTGGATCTCAGCCTGCGAGAGATGCTTGCAGTTTTCCATGGCTTTCTGGAAGTCCTTCCTGGATATGCTTCCCTGACGATCAGGATCATGTTCTCTGAAGGCTTCTGAGGAGGTGAGGTCTTTAAGTTTGAGGAACATGTCAAAAAAACTTGAGAATCATTTCCACATTGCCTGACGATTCCACCAACATATCCACCATTTGCTTTCCAGTAGTTCCATTGACAACATTGCCTGCATGAGGCACAGGAATGTCCTTACTTAATGATAAATGGTAACTTATTACTATCACAAACTGCAAAACAACAGAAGATATTTACCTTCTAACATAGAAAGCAAAAACACAACCATATCTTTCTGTAAATCCATGAGCTCCTTTAGAAGCTCTATTTGCCTTGAATCCTGTATGTGCAGAAAATATATTCATAGTTAAATTTTCATAAAGTTGTACTACTGATTTCACATATTACACTGTGCACGAGTGGGCACATTATCAGAGGACAGTTTTATATTAAAAATAAATCTGAACTAAAAATGATGACTGCGGGGGTAGAAACCCTGCAGTACATGATCACCTAGAGCACTGTCAATTTTATGTCTTCTGAATTTTAAATGGAAACATGCATGGTCACTGTGAGTGGATTAATACGCTGTACCTGAGAGAGCTTCATCTGCAGGTGCGCAAAGACATGGAGGAATCCCACAACAGCGTCCCAAAGACGGCTATGAGCTAGACTCTGCTGGTTCCCAGTACACGGACCCTGCATGCACACTCTGATAATATGAGCTGCTAGTAAAAGCAAAGTGAACTTATAGAGAAATAGACAGCTCTTTGCAGAAGCCCCCGGCTTGTGGATTTATGTAGAGTGTCTAGATTTAGACACTTTACATCTTACCCATCACAGAGTGCTATTACGAAGCAGTTTGATTGGTCCTAAATTAATTCTGCAGCATGACAAGAATTTGAAATATACAACCCCAAATTAACAGACTGCTGGGATCCTTAATTAAACATTTTAAAGACTACATTGTGGAACAAGTTCAAGTTTAATGAAGGCTACAGAGCTGGGCAATAAAATCACTATGGAATGGAATGGAAACAGACTTACCTGTATGTACTCAGTGAGAGTGTTGAGGGCCTGTTTGGCCACTTCAATGGCCTTGGAGAAGTTGTGTTGACCTTGTGCATCAATCTCATCCTTACCTGAGTAGTACCAGTAGAAGTCACTGATGGACTGCTACAGTGTAGCAGAGGAAAATGTTTGTATTTCATGAGCACAACTAAAACGTTCTTTTAGTGACAAAACTATTGAAAAAGACAAAGAACAAATCCAATTCTACTATTGCACTCCAGCTAATTTAACTTTGCCTTATCTTTGGACACATCTACTTGAAATTAAATCAATCAATCACTAAAACATTAGGCTCCACAAATGTGCCTTAAATGAAACACCAATATACAGCATTACAAATGAAAACTCATCACAGCGTGCCTACCTGTATCCTTAGTAAATAGTCTACAGTGGATATAATGATGTTGACAGTGGTGTTGTTGCCTGTTTGTGTTCTCAAGTAATTCTGGAAATCTAACACATAAGCAAAATATTATTAAAGTGGACAAATTGTTAAAAGTGAGCTTTGCATACATTAGGATTGGACAATATATATGTAGTACACAGCTGTTATAAGTCGCTGTTAAACTACAGTAATTTCCATCCATGTTTCTTCAATATATCAATATATTTTTGTGAACTCTTTGACAGAATGTAACTGGATACAGCAGAAAGCAATTAACCTGAGTTGTGTCCTTCACAGAGCAGCTGAAGGAAACGGAACAGGTCACAGGTTAGGTCTTTGTCAGGCATCACCTTTTTTCCTGGGAAAAAGATGGACAGAAAAAGGTGAGGGGAAAAAAAAAAAAAAAAGCAGAGGTCTAAGGTTCATAAACCGAGTAAGAGAATGTTCAAAGAATGAAGAGAACAGAAAATTAGGCCACTTTTGACTGTAAATTCAGAGTATGTTCAAGGCCATCGATCTCACAGCTGGCTCTTCTGCTGTGACATGGATTAATAGTAATAGATTTTTTTGCCTATTTGAATACAGTACCTGAGCTCTCGTCCGTGGCCATGCCTAATCCCTCTGCTTTGTTCTGCCTCTCAAAGGCATTCAGATCCAAAACACTGAACAGAAGAAAAGCAGGCACAACCACACAGAAAAAAAGCACAAAGCACTTGTACTCTTGCCTTTTTTATTTTAAATTAAATCAATCAGTATTTGAAACCTGCCAGCCTTTATAACATTTGACTTGATATCTAATTTTTCTACATTTACTCACCTGCATGACTGCATGAGCCCAGCCATGCTCTGAAAGAAGCCCACATCTCGCTTCTCTTTTAGATAATCCAGCATTTTCTATCAGACAAAAGCATCAAAGACAAGGTCTGATAAATGGACGATATGATTTGAAACAGGGATAATTAGATTTATTACTGTGAGCATTGCTGCAGTAAGATGACAAAATTTGAAAGGGCTATGTTCTAATAAGGACAAATAATGACACGAGGGCACTTAGTTTAAACATTATTGTAGACCTATTTAACGTCCTGCAGTGAGACCAAAAAAAATCATTTTAATTTGCACAAACAGGCAAAAAAATTAGGACCACTCACAGATATATATGTATAATGTAAGCTTGGGTAAGCACTCATAGTTCATATTGGTGGATGCAGGAGAAGTATGTAGATGTAAAGGCCTGCCCCAGCTTGTCAGGAACCAAATCACCATGATTAGATCTCTGAAATGGAAAGGCTTTCAAGGTGCCCATGGTCAGCACTGGGAATGCATACAACTTGCAGGATCTGTTGCCTTCTGGTCACATATTAAAAGGCACCGTCAGAGATCACACATCCAGCAGGGCAGACACAGAGGACCAACAGGCCACAGTGTTTTGGCTGACTGGTGTATCATTAGATACTCGTTTACTTTAAACTGAGATCTTTGATAAAACAGTTTCTTCCCTAAGTTATTCAATCCATGGTAATCATTTGTTTTATTATATAAAAACCTGAACTCCTATTTAAAATGAAGAAATAGCGAATGTCACAGAAGGTATATATCAGATCTATTTTGTGAATGCCAAGAAAAAAAAACCCACGTAAATAGTTTCAGGGGGAAAGCAATGAAATTACTGTACCTGCTGAACAGTGGCATTTCCTCCATTGAGAATAGCAATGCCTAACTTCAGTGTAGGGGCAATCATGGAGCCTATGGCACCTGAAATTAATCAAAAGAAAAGAAAAAGCATGGTACTGACTCCAAAGAATAACACTGCATGATGCACATTTGAAGAAAGGAGTGAAACACACTAAGCATCTACTCTCTTCACGTCAGTCTCAAGAACATGAGCACTAAATCAATCAGAAAGAAAAAGATTACTTTCTCAGTTCCCTGCATGTGGGAATCTTTGTCGAGTATTCAGCTAACACAAATACTCTGACTTACTGCTGGCACATCTAAAGCAACAACATAATAAATTAGAAAGCAAAAGATTAATCTTAATATTTAAATTTCTATGATTTTAATATATTTTTCTATTACATTAAAATATTTTCTAATATTTGAATGTCTTTCCTACCTTTGCTGGCGCTGATAGTTTGCAGGACCATCTCAGAAGCTCCACGACAATGTAACCTGGCTTGCTGGTACAGCAACTTCTGTTTCTCCATCTCCTTCTCCTGAGGCAATGAAAAGATAATTCATGTTTTTATACACCATTTTATCAAATTGAATTTAACATAATGTTGACTATTAATAATCTATAACACTGTTCACAATAGAAATTGTAAAAACTAACAAGTTAAGCCTCTAACAAAAATTCTAAGCAAGGAATATTAAACACAAGTCGCTTACTTCAAAGCTTTCCACCTCCTGCTCTTTCTCTTCACCCTCTCTGCTACAACTCTTGAAAAGCAAACACATAAAGCAGGGTGGTGATGTGAAAAGATGTAGAAAATACAAGTAAGTGGATACAAAAGAAACACCTAGTTCATAAATTCACAGCACCTTGCTTTGATATGTGTTGCATGCGCTATTCACCAAAAAACAAAAGAATGAAAGTAATATTAAAAGCCACATTGTGCATTTTGTTTCTCTCTAATTTATTGCTATAATTTTAGGAGCTGGCGAATGTTGTTCAAGAAGAAAATTCAAAATACTATGATAGTACAATGTCATATATGTAACGTTACAGGCAGTTACACTGCATGCTTTTGTAAAGGACTTCAGGACATGAACAGAGATTTGGACACTACTAATGAGTGTTCTATTACCTTGGCCATAATAGCAGCGTAGGGCTTATAGAGACTGTCAATTCCATCCTTACTGTGAACAAAGGAAACAAATGAGACGTGATTAGTGTGTATCAAAGTATGCACAAGTTCAAGTTCATTCAAAACCCCTTACACTGTTGAAGGCACTACTACCTTTAAACACCTTATGCGGACACAGTTAATGCCCAAGTCTACCCAGTGGCATTGAACATGTTTATTGACCTTAACACCTGGATACTAACTAATCTGATTAAATCTCTGCAGTGACTTTACAAATGGGAATGCTCCTCCACCAAGGTTTTTTGCAAAGACATGATGCCAAAGTGTTCATTTATGTTCATGTTATGAGTTTCTGCAGGAATATCAGAAATATATCTTAATTGTACTGGTGGATAAGATCACACATTAAGAAAAAGAGCATTTATGACATTATAGGAATACTTATTTCAGTTACTTTTCAACAAGAATTTTAACCACTGCTTGCAACAAGAAAGGTTTTTTCCCCCCATTCACAACATCTGTGGCAAAAAATATATGCTTTGAATATTCCACTGAAACTGCAGCTTAAAATGTATTGATGTAAAAGATACACATTATTTGCAACATCAAGCAGAACGCATTTATGCAAAAATTAAAGCCCTGGAAAAAGCAGAAACATATTCCACATTCCAAGCTTTCAGAGATCAGTGGCCACAGATGTTGGACAAAAATATCATGCTTCTGGTCAATTCAATGTTGGCTTTCTGGCTGATGAGTTTGACTAATAATAGTTGTGCTGACTGGAAATGTTATTGCAAGTGATTCTTTTATGATAAGCACACACACCTGCTTTCTGTCAGGGCGCTTCGACTGAAGAGTGTAATGAGTTGTAGGAGAGGATCGATTGGTTTGGCACCTTCCTTCACATCCTTTTCTTCCCCTCTTCCACCTACATACAGTTCCATTACTCCCCTCTTCTGCAAGCCAGAAATAAAAGAATAAAGGAACTAACATCTCTTAATCTCACAGCCTGGCTGTGCACAGCAGACTGAGGTTTACACCTGGCTGCTTTGTTATTTATTTGGAAATTCTACTAAAAAGACATATGAAAGCAAAAGGTCTTAATGGATTACATTTTTTTTTAATAAAACAAATGTTTAAAGTGATAATAAGATGGCAACACAATAATGAGTGCACAATGTCACATCCCACCTACTTTTTATGCCAGAAAGTGGGCAGTTTAGTGAGTGTAAAAATATTGTACAATAGTATTAGTGTTTAATTTCGATTCAGTACAACAGTGTAGGTGGGATTTTTGTGCAGCCTGAAATTCCTCACAGTCTTAAGCTGATTTTGAGCAAAAAATGTTTGTTTTACACGATACGTGTTTTGTTGGCAAAACAGAAGGTACTGTACTAACATCATATGCCAAGAAGAATATATCTAATTATATGCACACGAAAAGTTCAGTTTTTA